GTGGGCTAAACACTGATGGGATGTGTGCGCGGTCTATTCAATTGAAGTGCCTTCATTGCCTAGGCATCCTGGTGATAGTGGTTGCGTTCGTCGCAGCTCAAACCAGGTGAGCCGTTTTTGCTGTGTTATGCATGCTTTTTCCCGCTTATGTTTTGGATGCGAATGGTAACCGATTTTTGAGTGAAATTTTCATTGTAATGTATTCAAAACAGATTTAGCGTACGTTAAAATGTTGCTGCTGTGTATTCGAATCATTCAGAAAACTCCGTTTAGTTTTACGCTTACCAAGAAAAAAAGCTGCCCCTTTTTGTTGAAAAAACTTGACAGGATAATGTATCAGCTCTTTATATCGAAGGGTACAGTATTATTTTTCAGTCACTGCGTTAATTTGAAATGAGGGTTTGAATACTGTTGAAATTCCTGACTGAGCACCGAAGTGTTTTGGGCCATATATTGTTGTTGATGATATATCATGTGACTGACCGTTCGGTTGCCTCGTTCTGGTGTACTATATATGTTCTGTGTTCCGTTAGTTTAGCCAATAGTTGGATTTTTTATGAGGATTACCGGTACTTGAATATTGCACACCTCACATATCGTGTTTCATTGTGTGATCTAAAAGATACGCATAATTCAATGGTCTGTCGAAAACCGCTGCGGAATTCATGAATACTGTTCTGGTATAGTACTGTAGAACCCCCCAAAATTATAATACTGTACTGTATTATTCGGAATTATTAACATATAATGATGCTGTTTTCATCACAGGTAGGTGGGACGGTGGGGACATTTTTTTTTAAATACAGTGGCCCCCTGCCTAACAGACCTCCCGTGTAAGGGATTTTCGCCAAACAGACCAGCTCTGCAGGCAGTTTTTCCTCCCGGCCAACAGACAAAATCCGCCAAACAGACTTCTTTTGGTTTAAAATTAGTGTTGAAAATTGAAATTTTTAATTTTTTATGTAATTGAATTTGTGTAAAGGACTTTTCGTCCAACAGACTTGTCCCTTGCAGAAATCAAGTCCGTTAGACGGGGGTTGACTGTACTCTGACAATCGTATGTGCTGAGTAATATTGAGAGAAGATGGGACATTTTTTTCTTTTCTTCATCACAGTTTTCGTGTGAGCCTCGAAAATTGTATGGACTTCGTGCTTTGATCTGAACAACGATCAGTGTTGAGCATCTCTCAAGGGGTAGACTAGTGTGGCAAAATTCGGCATTACATGAAAACAATTGCTGTCAATAAATTACTGTTCGTAGATTGAGATTTCCTCGAAAAGCCAACAAATCTATTTTCCTAGTTGTCAAAACTGGATGCTTTTTTTCATTGTTGAGGCTGTGAAGACATTTTAACTTTCTTTCACGGTGTCCTACCTTATTATTTTCAAATGATTATTTTATTAATACGTTTGAAAAATCTCCAAAAGTTAATTTTTTGTACGGAATCTCTGTTATTCTAACACTCAACGATGTTCCTCTAAAATAATTGAACAACACTATCCTTTTTCATAATATCCTGGTACTTATGAGTGGTTTAAAAATTACACGCCTTTTGCAATTAGTGTATGTTCAAATATGTTGAAGTTTCAAAACGAAAGAATGATGAAATAAGTACTCCAACGAATTCTTCGACGTTTTTTCCCCGCCTTGGCACGAGAATCTGTTATCCAAAAACTATTTTACGAATGAGGAAACAACAATGATCAGTCGTTGTGGACTCTTTCTAATAATTAAAGGAAAAAGGGGATCGGAGATTTAAATCGTTTTCCGCGACTTTCGAAGGAAACGCAAAAGCTACTCCGTGAGAGTATCTCAAAATGATATTTATTAATCTTCACACACAGTCGATAACAATACGTTCTACAGAGCAAAGCGGCGTAGAGTCAGCGTTCGGACAAGGTCTGGTGCGATCAACTTAAAGCAACATAAAATGCACCTGTATATATAGCCTCAGCTGGCCACGGTCACGGGACGCGCATAGAGAGCCGATTCGGATCGGGGACGTCACGCTTCGTTTCTTTAAAGGAAGGAAGCGTGAGCGCGGTTGAGAAAGAATTCCGTCAACAACGGGATTGGGAAATATAATTACTAGCGCGCCAGGCGCAGCCAAGCGTAGCGGAAATACATTAGCTTAAAAGGGTCACGCGTAAAGTGAAGGGTGTTGTGGTCGTAAATATGACTACAAATCATTCAGCCATTATTCAGTATATTCGTTGCTGTGTGAAGTACACTACAGTTCTTTCTAACGTATTGTACAGTATTAGCTTTGAGGAACAAATTTTGGCTTCGTCCCGTGGACAAATCCCGTCGAACTTAAATTTGGCAGGTGGACTACCTTTGCAACAAAAAAAAATACTATAAGGATTTTCTCTGTATAACATTTTTTTGTCCCATGGGTTCTTCTCATGTAATAAGGGTTCTCTACGTCGAAAATTTTTTTTTGGTCCCTTGAATTTCGTTATAGAGAGAGTCCACCTATTATTACGAGTTATTTTGGTCCCTTGGGGCCCTTTACCCGTCGTATGGGGGTTCTCTGCTGCGTGATTCTCTCTCTAGCGATTTTTCTAGGGTCCGGTGGGTTTCTACCCTTCTCTACAACGTCATTATCTCTGAAATGCAAAATTTTCGAATCCCCTGAATTTCTTCTTAGCCTGTTTTGACAACGGAATGTGACATAATTTTTCGATGTTTCGCTCAGGAATGGAATTTACACGGTCGTGGCACCGAAAGCATTGCGTCCAAACACGGATTACCATGTAGCTGTGAGTATCCACGATTCGCCAGACCCAGTATTTGTTACTGTGGAAATCGATGGCATTCAAGACTCTGGCGGAAGAATTCATAGTCAGAAACAGCAGCAGATTGATTCGAGCGATACGCGAATTCTCCAATTCCCCGTGAGTGAAAGTCGTTTTTTTTCCCCTCATCTTCGTTTTTTATCTTCAATTTATTGTATAAAAAAAGTTTCGTTGGGTCCTCTTGTCCACCATGAAAATAATGTAATTTGTGATTTGTTAGTACAGCTTTTTGTGACGTTTAATTCTGCTCACGCTGCCATTATCCGTGACCTACCGATAACGGATGTTTTCTCTGGTAATACAGAACTCCTTCATTTGAAAATTTTAAGAAATGTGACGGTAAAATGAAAGCAATCTGTTTCAGAAAGTATCAATCTCCGAAGGCATAATTGCTGTTATCCACTTCATTACCCAGGCTAGTAGACTAAGTAGACTTGAGCGCGGAGCAGAGTATAATTTATTTGAAAATTTTCTGAAGAGAGTGAGGAAACTGGTTTTTTTTTTCTGGTTCAGCTCCATTGTTGAGAAAGGAAAATAAGTGTAGAGAAAAAGGAAAACCCGAGATTTCGAAACTATTCGGTTTGTATTCGCCGACTGACTTCAAAAATGCTCTACTGTACATATTAAGTATGATGCATGTGTTGTATCATAAAATAATGCAATGCGTAAAATTGAAGGAATCAACATAACTTTTGTGGTCAAATTCATTTTCATGACATTCGTAGTTTTTGAGATGTTGTAAACGATTTTTAACTTTTTCGGCGACACTTTTCAGATTAGGAGTTTTTATTGGGATAAGATGTGGACGTAGTGATAATAATTCAAAATTAATTCAAATGATCGCACGTTTGAGCCAACATTTTGCTTTTCATCATTCAAAGTTTTGGACGGCCAACCTATTGTTTGAAAAGTAATGTAAAATTTACCGAGCCTTGCTGTGCAATGTTCACATTCGCTTCCAGGAACACCTAAAACCAGCAGGTTTAAATTTTTTTCGGACGAAGGATGACGACGCTATTCGTTTTTCTCTATTTTCGTTCTCTTTTTTTCTTCTGCAGATGGGAGACTTGGGCCAGGGTTCTTACAACATCAGTGTCTCCGGAACAGGCGGGGTTCGCTTCTCCAACACAACCACGTTGGAGTACGTTCGCAAAAGTTTGTCGGTTTTCATCCAGACGGACAAGGCTATTTATAAACCAGGGCAGAAAGTCATGTTCCGGGCGATCGTTGTTGACCGCAAGCTTCGACCCAGTGCCACTACTCGCATCGACGTTTTCGTCTCTGTAAGTTCTATTTTTTTTCTATCTACGGTTGAATCTCAATCATTCGCCCCCCCCCCCCTATTTTTGAGTCAAATATAGGTGAACCTCAATAACTAGAACCTCCCTAAGTCGAATTTTTTTTCAGGTTCTTTCTGAATCCCCTTTGAACTAATGCATTTAAAACATCCCGAAGTCAAAGGCTTTTTCCCTCAAACCTCCATAAGTCGAATTTTCTGTGGCCTGTTAGCTTTTATTTTCTTGATACAGAAAGGAAAAAAAAGCAATATAAACATAAATTGATTTGTTTTAAAAGGAGGTGAGAGAATTAATTGGGAAAATGAACCCTGCCTTCAAGTTCAGGATGCTTTCAACTCATTTAAGAAGTAATTTCAGCCTCAGAATATTACGATTTACAATTTTGAGCCATTTTTCTGTGTTTCCGAACACAAAAGGGCTTTGTATTGTAGTCCAATTCAAGACCTCCCTAAGTCGAATTTTTTTGCTGGTCCCTTGAAGTTTGACTCAAGCGAGGTTTGACTTGTACCTTTCTTTGTCGAATTTTTTGAAGTCGCTGTCGGAATTTCCTTGAAAATAGTGCGTGAAAAACCTCTCTAACTCAATTGCTTTTCTCCTCGAAGCTCCGTAACTCGAATTTCCTGGAGGCCTCTTGGATATGACAGTATTTCATCCACACAGGGAAGAAAAATAAAAGCAGTAGAAATGTAACTGGTTGCGTTTTGAGAGGGCAAAAGACTAATTAAGCAAATAAACCCTTGCTTCCAAGTTCGTCATCTCGTCAACTCATCGAAAAATCAATGTAAGGCCCAGAATATCACGAATTACAATTTCTTTGTAATTATTCTTCATTTTCCCCAACAAAAATGCTTGTTTCCCCAACTCGAAACCTGCTTGGGGCAAGTCGAATTTGATTGCTGGTCCATTTAAGTTCGACTTCGAGAGTGGTTACATTTCATTTTACGAGGGGCTTCGGTTACTGTCGATTTTGGAGCTGGAAATGCTCTCTTTCTCTTGGTTTTGTCCAGTCGATCTTGAGGCGAATAAACAATAAATCAAATGAGTTCCGGTATGATTTCTTCATTTGAACTTTACGAGGGGATCAGAGAGTAATCATGAACCGCTTTTTGAGTACTTTACCGTATGTCATTAGTCTTTTTGTGTTGCTGAAACTGATGCGTTCTTTTCATGAAATTTGCAAGTCACGTGCCATCTGCCCTTGAAGACAGTCACAATAATACCCGTGACAATTTTTCATAATTATTTTTGTTCATTTTTGATTCTCGAATCATCTTTGATTGTTAGCTTCCTCAGCGTCATTCTTAGCCATGGAAATTACGATCAAAGCAATGTGCTGATGAATACTTGAGTAATGTGGTAACAATTTGATCATTTCTCTTTCTTTCCGTGGGTTGTATTCGTCAAACTTCGAAGAAATCTATCCTCAGACAGTTCAATGATGTCCCCTGCTGTAATTCAGATACATTATGTTTTAGGCAGTTCCACTGTCGCCTGTTTTGGACATTATTCAACATTAAGAATATTTGTATTGGTCAGAATTAATGACACGCTTTACTTGCAAGATTAAAACGTACGCCCTAATTTCAAGCTAAGTTTTGTTTTTAAAAAGTGCGTAATCTTTTGGCACAGTAAAATAATTTGAAGTTGCGGATCGGGTGACTCTATTTAAGGAGGTTCTTTCCGAAAGTGACATCCCAAATTTACGAGGCAAATGGAGAGAAAATAATCACTCGAAGTCTTATTTTACTACGGAGATTGTATCAAGCTAGAGAGAACGTGAATGTGCTTCCTTTTTCTTCGACGGAATGCCGGTTCATGCAGTATACAGTTGAGCCTTGATAACTCGAACTTCTCCGAGTTTAATACCTCGGTACGTCGATATTTTTTCTAGTCCCTGTCTGATTTTTCTTAGATCAAGTGTACTTTGCAGTACTTGACTTGCATTGAAAACCTTCCTAACTCGAAGGCTTTCCCCGCGAACATCCATAACTCGAATTTTCTGAAGTCGAATAGGCTATCACTTGTATGACCCAGGAAAGAGAAAAGCGAAAAAAATAAGTTGATGCTTCTTTTGAAAAAAAAATTTGGGCAAATGAACCCAGTATCACTTTTTTTCTCCTGGAGGAAAAAAATGACGAGAATGGTTGGTAAGGTTCCTAATTTTTGCGTGAAACGCATGAAGGAACTTCGCTCCCGTTTTTATCGATAGATTCTTCACCGACTTCAAAATTATCTCCAAGTTCAGCCTCACATCAATTTCTTCATGAAGCAGTTTTTTGTAAATTCGGCCAAAAATATCAATTTTTTTTTACGAGAGTGTGTGTGAGTGTGTCCACGTATATTCAATTCTTTTGACTTGGATTGGAATTGCGTAGGATGGGAAGCAGAATCGGGTGAAGCAGTTCAAGCGGGCGTTCACGAACCGGGGCGTGTTTTCCGGGGAAGTGGAGTTGTCAGACCAGCCTGTGCTGGGTGACTGGAACATTACCGTTACCGTGCTCGGCCAGGAGTTCAGCAAGACGTTCAAGGTGGCCGAGTACATCCTGCCCAAATTCGAGGTTGACATCGACCTGCCGCCCTTTGCCACGTTCCGGAATTCGGAGGTCACCGCTGTGATAACCGCGAGGTGAGCATCCACGATTATCACCTATACGATCTATTTTTATTTTATTTTGTTTCGCTGGAAGACGAAGAACAACACGGGGAGTAAGGTATACGGTACGTTAGTTTGATGAACGTGCTTTGCAATCGTTCCTTTTTTTCTTAAATCCACCAGTATCACTTTTTTTTTCTGTTGGAGGAAAAAAAAATTAGGAGAATGGTTGGTAGGGTTCCTAATGTTTGCGTGAAACACATGAAGGAACTTCGCTCCCGTTTTTATCGATAGATTTTTCACCGACTTCAAAAAACTATTTTGCATTATTATCTCCTCTTTGATCGAAACAATGCGTAAACTTCAGTTTTGTCAAAAAGTTTTTTGAAAGTATTGGTTTTTTCTGTTTGAGTCGTAGTCCGCCCGACAAATGTTGGATATAAACAGAAGTACAAGTACAGTACATGGATTTGAGTTTTTGCGATGCTAGCGTGGATGATTATAATGGTGTAGTTATTTTTTCTCGCTGACAATTTTGCCTGGGAAAATGCAGATTTAATGAGTCCATTAATTAGGCGAGTTTGGTGAGGCGGTTATTGCGAGTTACATTTAATTCAATAATAATTTTATTTACTGCACTGTACGTCTTACTCTTCAAATTGAGCAAAGATTATAATTTAATGTTGATGAATTTCGCCTCGTGTGCCAAGGTTTTATGGAAAAGGGCTACGTTTTTATAAAATAGTGCGAACTTTACGAGGGTTGGGCAAACAGTTTTTCCTAAACTGATTCAATGCGCCTTTAATTTTGGGAAATAGCTGATTTTTTTTGTGAACGCATTAAGAAGCGTATCTCCTGTTTTTATGTATGGATAATCCACCGACTTGATTGAAGCAACTAATTTTTTGAATCAACTTTTCGCTTCATCATAACCTCTTCGATCAAAACAATGCTCAAACTTTAGTTCTGGCAAAAGCTTTTATTTATTTTATTTATTTGTACCGTACTCCACCCAACGAATGTTCGGTATGAACAGAAGTACAGCACAACGATTTTAAGTGCGCTTTCTCTCCATTTGCTGACAATTTTCTCGGGTTTTAGTCAAATAATGTTATTTCAGCTTTCGCATTCTGCATAATTTGCGCTCAGGAATCGTGTTAGTTTATTTTTAAAAATTATATATTTAAAAGAAGGGGATGCTTTTTAGAGGTTTTTCATTTTCGAAATACGCTAGAATCTCGTCACAACGAATTTTTGCTTGCGACGATTTCGTTTTTCAAGTCCCTGTCCAATGGACGCGATGTTATTCGAATTTATTTTTAAAGATTTTTGTTGTGACGAATCTTATCTCTTACTCCCAATAGCTTCTTAGTAACGAGGTTTTGCTGTTTTTGGTAGCATTGGGATCATTTGCAAAAAAAATCCGTTTCAACCTTAGCGAACGCAAATTTTAACTCATGTCAAGGACGTGTTGAATTGATTCTTCATTCAATTCATTTTCATTTGGCCTGGCGAAACATCTGAACCAACCCTCGTATTCGTAAATCATGTTTCCACGGATGTCGGCGAGGACAACTATCCAATTTTTTGCCGGAGAGAGAATGAATGCATTCACAACGAGCTACGCTTTTTTTTATTTTCTTGCCATAAAATCGCAGGGAATTTCGCTATTTTGATGCGTGTGTGTGTTTGTGTAAACTATTCCTCGTCCTCGAAAGCGGACGAAATCAAATGCGTTCCGGCGTCCACCCGGAATAAGTGTGGTCGCATTTTGCTCCACTGCTCCCGCCTTGATTTCGTAATGACAACGCAGTTGCGCCACGTGGTGTAACTCAAGCGTACACCCAACTTCGAAAGGAAGATAGAAAGATGTACAGTACAACTTTTTTTCATGTGGGTGGCTTTGAGTTTTCTTTTTTTTTACGTTATTTTCTATACCTTTGGATAAAAACGTAATGGGGAAGATATTGTTGTGTATAGGCTGGAAAAAGCATATTTTTCTTTATATCCTTTTACATTTCCTCTTAAATTCATATACTGTATATGAAAGCTTTGATTGGATGGGAAAATAAATGGAAATGAGAATAGTCATGTTACATGGTGCTACTGTATACGGATAATACATTTACATCTCACGACTAGAGAGATGGAGAAAATGTAAGAAAAGTTTTTATGCGGGCGGTTTTTGTTCTCTGAAGTCTGATGTCATATTTTATTTTAATGAAAACTTGATCTTCTGTTTAAAATTCAAACAAAAGACCTGCTTTCGTAACAGCTTTTCAAACGAAAGATCAACTAAAGGTGGCGTTCACGAGTAATAACCTCGTAAGTTGATTTTTTTCTAGCTAGTCCTCGTGGAGATATTCATTTTAGAAATATTTTGCGCCATTATTTCTTTCATCATAATTCAGCATCAATATTTCTGAAGTTTTCACACCGCCAAATAAATTCATGTGAATCATGTTCCTGAAAGTTTCTCTTCGCTTCAGTTTTTTCTCAACATTTAAAAACTTGGATGATGAAATGTTTTTTTAGAAAGCGGACCTTTTTCAATTTTTTGAATTAAATATCAGATTTATAAAAATATGTTATCGGTTATGTTTTCATTCTAATGCTCTGAGAGACACCGGACTTCGGAAAACAAAAACTGCCCGTTTAGATTTTGTTGGTACAGTATATTAATCATCCCAAATAAGATATAAGTTTACAGTTTAAGTTTGCATGACGTGTCTTTTAGATTCTTTTGTTTGTTTTCAACTTCCCGTAAGTAAAAAAAAGGTATAATGTATTTGTAGTACCATAATTACCGTACCAAGGTACCCCGTGCGCCTCTTTAAAAATTAAGAGCTGAAACGGAGTGTGCGTGTCATCGGCGGGTAAACAATTTTTCAAAATTTGGAAGATCAGGTTTACATGATAGTTGATCCTAATGGAAATCATAAGCCCATTTTAACCAAATAATGTATTTTAAAATTATTGAAAAAATTGAAAACTAATGGAATATTGGTTCAATTCAGTCGAAATCCTAATTCGAATGGGTTTTATTTTCAAGATATTTTTTGTATTTCTGAGTAACTAAGAGCGGGATGTGCGTCTTTTTCTGGGATAGATTTTTATCTGAATTTTACGCGGAAAAAGCCAGAGGTGCCCGTCTTACGCAAGAGCGCCGGGTACCTAAGTGAATACCCAATATTGTATTGTTTTTGTATGTGGGCTAAGAGATGGAGGAATAAACGGAGGAACCCTGTTGGGGTAGCTTCATGAAATGATGACCTCCTGGGTTGCTTTTTCTCCTTTTGAAAATAATTGTTTTATAAACATTCTGCGCCATTTTCTTTGCATCATACTTTAGTATTACAATTTTAGAATTTTGCGCACTGCTGAAAGAAATCAATGTGAATAATGTTCCTGAAATTTTCTCCTAGCTTCACTTTTATCTATTCATTATTTTTTACTCCACGTAAAATCCGATCATGCGTCCAGCGGGATTTTTCTCCGGAAAGAGTCAGATGGGATTTGCATGCTTTCCCTTATTTGGCGAAAAAGTCGCCTTGAGGCATGTAGCTGAACGTGGGAGTCGACTTCACGCAGGCAATTTTCGCGGATGAGTCCCCGAATGGATTCGATATGAAAGGCGTTCATGGAATATAATTTATTCATTTATTTTTAACCTTTTTTTCCCCGCAGGTATACATACGGTAAACCAGTGAAAGGCGAAGCGACTGTTTCAGTTTCGCCTTTGTACAAATCGCCGTACCTACAACCGTTCTATGATGAACCATTGCACAAAGTTGCATCGATTGACGGGAGAACAACTGTCAAATTCAACTTGGCCGAAGAATTGAAGTGAGTTCTGCGAAAAATCGCCGTTTGGAATTTTTTTTTTCAAAGTACCTATTCGCTAAAAATATTAGACTGGGTGTAATTGTTCCCAATCTTCTTCGATAGTGTGAACAGCTATTTCCTAAAGGTTCTAGTTCTTAAACTCAACAGTTTTAATTTGTTTTGTAATTGGCGTGTCGTCCTGATTGTTATTTTGAATTTCATTTCTCCTTCTTTTTCGGGAAACTTGTCATTTTCCGCGTTATCCGTGTTACCTTCTTAAAGTTTTTATTCAAATGACGGGTTTGGGAATGAGGTGGAAATAGGAATCCGATCTATTTATTTTGGATCCGTTTTTAAGATGAGTCAGCCTCGATAATCCGGATAATCCATGCACTGGTCGTATATAATCTTCATGATTCCGTGCCGCACCCGTCGACGTGATTCATTGCTTGAAGTGTGGGCGGAAAAGCTATTTTATTTTTATTCTTCGACCTCGTTTTCTTCGAAAACTTTTGTTACGTTTTAGTTGACTCGCATTTCTGGGGATTTAATTAAATGTCCGTGTTGAAGCGTAGGTCAGGCGAATAATTTGTGCTTTTCATAATTGCGTTGGTTTTTTACTAAAGGAGTTCTCTGATATGGTCGTGGATGTCTACGGGAACTTGTTTTAAACTTTCACTCGTCAAAAAAGAAGGCATTCTTAAAAGTTTTTCGTTTTCTTCAAATTTTTGATGTGGCATTCATAACAGAGTCAGCGCATGTATTCTTTGTGCTTGTCTGCTTTCCTTCTTTTCGAGGGAAAAAACGAGCGTTTTAGAAAATGAAGCTCTAACTCCGTTAAATTCGTGCCTATTGTCTGAAAAGGTCCATTGTGAATGAATCGACTGAATAAAAAACTTTTAAAATGCATTCGAGATGTTGGCTATAGTATTAAAGAGTCATAACATGTCTGTACGCATTCTGTATGTATTTTTTTATGGAAATATTTCTCAAGTTCATTTAAGCGTTTTTATTTTTAATAGAGACTTGCGAAAATAGTTTGTTACTTTCGGTGCAGTTCACGTTCCCAATTTCGCTTGCGATGAAATTGGAATTTCAGCTTATTTTTGCGTGTCATTTTCTTTGGTGTCTTTTCAAGAATGTCGAAAACAAAATCAAAATTATGGTAATGGAACTCTGTGTAAGGAGAGGGATTGAACTCTTCTGAATGAAACTCGATTCGTAAATTCTGTGCGTCCCGATCTAAAGGAAACTCTACCAAATTTTGTTCCATATTGAATATTCTATGTCTGGCATTTTAATCTCGTGCGCTTTTCTTTTCAAATACATTACAGTACACAGTACAATAATTGTCTTTTATCCCCTTATGCGGATGTTTTCTTATCCGTTGAACTCTATTCGTAAAATCCTCGTGTCCGCATCTAACCGAAACTTTACAAATTTTTTTCTTTTACATTGGTTATTCTATGTCTGGTATTTCAATCTTCTGCGTTATTTTTTTGAAAAAAAAAAGTGTCATTGTTCTCCTTCTTAATCGGATTTGTCACAGGCTGACGGACGACTTCCAGCGAGAGATTCTGTTTGACGTTACAGTGGAAGAGGCGCTGACTGGGCGTCGGCAAAACACCAGCGGGACTGTGAAACTATTCAAGTACCCTTACAAGTTGGAGTTGATCAAAATGGCTGACGCTTTCAAGCCCGGGTTGAAGTACTCGGCTTTTGTAAGTACACATATTTGCTCACCTTTTACTGGCCTCTTTTTTTTCTTTTTTTTTAACGTCGAAAAAATGCGTGTGAATTCGCACCTGAACGCTTTCTGGACTGTTTTTCGATGATCGACCTCAATGAAGAAGGATTGCCCTCCTGCTGGGGAATGAAGGGTTTCGTCCGTGCTAGGGAAAAGCTTTTTCTCTCCTTTTTTTACGAAGAATTTTTCCAATTTGGTTTGTGTCTATTGTGGAGCTTATATCGGCCATGCGCAAGGAAGCGTGACGAGTGATTGTTTCGCAGAATCAAACATTTTGCCGAATACTGGCTTTTTTTATGCTTTGATACAGTATTGGATGTTCCCAATTACGGGATTTTGCTTAACTTGAATGCCGCCTAAATTTGGTTTTCTTTCGTGAGGTATACAAGTTAGGTAACCTTTTTTTTTGCTGAGATTATTTTCTTGGGTATTCTTTTATATGATTCGAGGGTTGTCCAGTTTTTGAGTCATGCGGGACAAATTCTACCTTGAACCGTGTACTCATTTCCTTGTTTGTCTTTTACATTTTTTTCAATTTGCTGTTGTATTATTGTTGAGTTGATGTTCGCTATTTTTTATTCTTGTTGCCCTTGAAACAAACCTTACAGGGAATAGGGGGAAAAGTATATTCGAAGTCTCTCGATTTTTTCATCATAACGGAGAAGTCTATAGAATTTAATTTCATCGTATGAGGTTCAAGTTAGATCATGTTTCCTTTGAGGTACACTGTATTTTTTTATTTTTTTTTAGTTCAAGGTGACATTTTATAGTTGGGTTATTTTAATGGGCGATTTTTAAGACATCTGTTGGATATTTTAATGTGCGATGTTGGTCTTTAACCTGAGTAGAAACCGAATACTGTTTCAAAAGTTGAGTTAGTTTTCTCTCGCCAATTCTTTTTAGAAGCATTTTCTGGTTCAATATTTTTGGAGTATTTTTATTTTACAGTTGAAAGTTGCAAATCAGGATGACACACCTATTCAGGATGCCGTGGGAAAGGTGATTGTGAGGCACGGATTCTCTTACAACCAAGATGATTTCGAAAGCAATGAACACTGGATTCCTGCCAATGGTTTGATCCCGTTGTCTTTTTCGCCGCCGGCAACTGATGACGTGCATGTGCTCAGTATTGAGGTAGAGTATTTATTCTGAATTGCCTGGGAAGATGCCAAAAACTCAAACGTTAGGAAAGGAACTTCGAGAGAACTTGAGTTTCAGAGACTCGTATATTTTTTTCTTTAAAATTTGGAACGGTTCAAAAAGAGGAATTGTGTGAAAATGCAAGGGTTTTCTGGTTCCCGACCCTCGACAAAGGAAAAATAGCCTACGAATTTCTCGACCATTTTCAAAATCTACTTTTTAAAATCTTTTTTAATTGAAATTCTCGGGCACTTCTGCGGACGATGTTGTGCAATTATTTTTGCATGTCGGTATACATTTGAAATAAAATTATGTGATATCAGTCTGAACAAACTTTGGGTTGAAACGGGGGAAAATAGATGTGGTGGTTGACTCACCTCATTTGATTTTCGATATTTTGTTGAAATTTGATTGATTATCCATTCAATATGGAGGTTGATCTGAAATTTAAATACCATTTGAATTGATCAGTTCAAGTCGAAAATTAGAGTGTACCCCAGTCTATTGTTGAATTCAGTACTGTACATATTTACTCATAAATCCGAAAAATCTCGTAGCACAATTTTTCCTTCGTTCCACCATGTCGGATTATTGTTCACGGGATCGCATTGTTCGGACGTGATGTGAATCTTTTTGTTTTGCTTTGTTTTTCGTGTTCTCCATCCTTAGGCTGAGTACAAGGACCTGAGGGAGTTGCTGACGACGGTCGTGAGAGCTCAGTCCCCGAGTAATACCTACATTCAAGCTGACCTCAAGACCGAGCACCCGAAGGTCAGAACCGAAAAAATCAGTGTTTCACCTTTGTTTCAGTCGGAAGCTTTTATTTAAGTTTTTACCAGTCAGGATAAGTTCTTTTTAGGAAGAAAAATGCCCTAATTTGATGAGTAATAGTATGAATAAGGTTGTAAAAAACCTTTCGATATTTTTTCCCGAGTGATTTATTAGATCGTTTTTACGGTATGAAATTCTTAGTTTTATCACTGTCCTTTGAATAAATTGAGCAGTTTTTGAAACCCTCTTCTGTGAATTCTCTCAAGACTTGGCCTCTTATTTCCTATGAACTACGTATTGTATGCACATTTTGAATTGTATATTTGATTTCCTTACGTATTTATTTTCAAAACTTACAGTATGTGTACAGTATTTCATTTACGAATGTAATCAGAGGATTATGAAGTTATTTGTCTGAAAAAATAATCGCAGAGGGGTTGTTCTATGCATTAATGGAGGATTTGTTGAGACACGGAACACATTTTGCGTATCGAATATCGCTGTTGAAAATATCGTTGTAACGTGATTGCACCTGTTTTATTTTTGCATAAGCACCCTCGCTACAACGATTTTTCTCTGTGTTGAGAATAACTCGGTATCATAGATGTTGTTCACGTTAAGTTTGACAATAAATGAGGGAAACGTTTCCAAAAACGATCATTAAACGGAAATTAGGAACACTTGTAGCATCTGCTGTTTGTGGGTACAGTAATTCGAAACTTTTTTGCTTTTTCAATTTGCATACTAATATTAATTAATGTGTTGACTTGTTGGTGCCCATGCGCTATTTTCGGGTGAGATAAGCCGTAATTCTATCTGAAATTTTCAAAATGGTTGTAGTTCTAGGTTTCAATTGTTTCATCTTGTATTGTGCAGGTTTTGCTGGTCCAACTCCACCTTCAAGCCCGCTGCTTCGGCTACAGCTGCAAACACATGCTCCACGAACCGTCTCCGTTGTAACAGGAGCGGGTCCGGCACGTTCGCTTACTAGTCTGCTTAATGTGATTTCGCTTCCCGTGTCTACTGGAAATGGCTCCTAGAGCCAGAGTGCTTGTCCACTTTGTAACTGAAACTGGCCTTCAACAACGTCTGCGCTAGTACAAACTCCGGTTGCCGTGAAAGGTCTTAGTCCAAGCAATAGAAGTCGACATTTCATCACAAAGCCAATTACCTGAACTAGGTCCCAAAACCAAATTAAAAGTATTTTTTTTCTTTCTTTCATGAATAAGAGACCACTTGATTTGCTAAATGCGATGCAAAATGGCGTTTAGTTGCTGTTATGTTCTTTACTTTGGGTCGCCTTTTTTTCGGTTTTCTGCTTTTTAGCTTTTTGTTTCTCTGTGCAGGACATGAATCATGAGAAAACCTTTTTGGGCTTCATGAGGTCACGAAAATTCTTTTTTTGTCCCGAGTTCTAGGTTTGATGCGTACGAGGAGTCGCTCAAAATTTATCCCAATTTTTCCAATGCTTTAGTGGATTTCAGTACGGGAAAAAGCGTCAGAAACGAATAACGAATACTTAATGAAGTTTTTGGTTCACAGTACTTGAATCGTTCGATGTTCGTTTCTGGAATTTTTTTTTTCACCCTTTTGGAAATGGAGTTACGTACGGAAATAAATTTCCATCGTGAGGAAGTCCATATTTGAACTACAGGATGTAAATGGTTAATGTTGAAAAAAAAATGTTTCGAGTAGATTTAAAATAACTTTAGATCTGACGAGGCTAAGATTAGACGATTAAAAGTCAATTGAAAATATTTCTTATTTTCGAAAATAGTTGTGCCAGTGATGCTGACTGCCGAGAATTACTCTGAACTTCTAAAATGTCAATTTGTGTCCAAGAAAAATATAATTCAGTGCTGCAATTTGCGACACGTTTTCAACCAATTTTTTCCCCATGTGGTCGCTCGTAAAAAGTTTCCACCTTCAACTTCACCTTGGACTTAGGTCTGGTCCTTTTTTACAAGTTCAGTTCCACTTCAGACTCGTTCTAAGCAAGCAACCTAACGAACCCTAGCTAGTTTCGCAAAACGAAGAGAAGTCAGGCAACGATGTAACAAAGGTAATCTTTTTTTCATTTTCACTGAATAAACTAGGAAAAATAATAGAAATAAACTGCAAGCGGAGTCACGACGAGTTCAAGGGTCCGACCTATGAACCTTCGGATAACGGTGTAAAATTTGCTCGTCGACCGATATTTTCCGTTGTGTTCGCTTCTTCGAGTAGCAATCATTATTTTTCGTGACGAAAGAAAAATGTCTTCCTGGAACCTAGGATATGGTTGAAAAGGATTCATTGTTTGAAGAAAATTTGCACCACGAGCTGATTTTTAAATTAGGTTAGGTCTTAGGTGTTAACTTAGATTAAGCAACGCTACCTAATATAATAGGCGAGCTTATTTGAAGTGTTAATTTTTTTGGTTCGTGAATTAGTTCAAGTTGAATAGGTTATGTTGATTTGTTGAGATACTTCAGGTTAAATCAATGAGGTTGATTTAGACTGAACGTGTCTGTTTCGCACATTTAGAAGAAAAATTGTGACGGGGTGGAATGTAAGGGCTTGATGCTATTTAAGGGTTCGTGTTACGTTTGATGAGTGAAGTTGGATAAGTTGGGTTAGGTTCAGTTAGGTGGGGTTAACCGTCCATGTTTGGAAAGTTCAGATGAATCATGATTGGTCAGGTTTAAAATTTAGCCGACGCGATTTGTCATACGCGCCGGATTAGAAAAAAAAATCCACGAGAAAGCACATTACATACAGTACCGGATTTGGAGATTATTTATTTTAATGTTTGACCGTGAGCTGTGTTTGCGTTGTGTTTTTTGTTTTGTGGATTACAATATTTTATACTCGTTTTTTTTCCGAATCTTCCTTCAACAGGAGAACGTGATCGCGGAACTCGAGAGTTACGACTCGGGGAAATCCGAAGCGGATTTCCCGCTGATGATGTTCAAACGCCGGAAGCGGTCTGCCCTTTGGCCCGGCTCGGCCACGGCCGCCGATGTGTTTCAGGTCAGTTGTCTTCGTTTGTTTTTTTTCTTTTTTTTTCCCCTCCATTTTTTTTTACTTCTGTTATATATCCCCTAACCTAACCTCCCTGTTTCTGAATCATTTCCGAAACCCGATAAATGCTTCGCGCGCAATTTCTGTGGGCGGACGGCGCGGGGGCATGGGAAAACGTTACGGCGGGGTTCTACAAGTATGAATTCCCATGCGAGGGTCTTTTCAGAAATTTTTCGTGAGTCAAATTACGTAGGAATTCACTGACGGAANTAAATGCTTCGCGCGCAATTTCTGTGGGCGGACGGCGCGGGGGCATGGGAAAACGTTACGGCGGGGTTCTACAAGTATGAATTCCCATGCGAGGGTCTTTTCAGAAATTTTTCGTGAGTCAAATTACGTAGGAATTCACTGACGGAAGTCTTATCATCATCGGAGGACGTTGAAATTGAATATCTTCGTAATCTTTGAACCCTGAAACTGAATCGGAATTGAGAAACGAAAGAGTGATCCTAGCAAGAAAACTTGATTTCCTGTAGAACTCCTCTTTTTTTTTTTTTACTTTATGACGCGTCGACTTCAAGTCCGGGTTTTTCAAAAAATGGGGAAGATGCTGATTTCGTATTCATATATACATTATACAGTATTGAATTGTATTTTTTAAGAGCCAGATGCCTAGTGTCGAAGGTTTCAGAATTGCAGTTCGCAGATTTTTTTTTAATGTGGCAACAGTCAGAGAAAATTATGAAAGAAAAATTGAAAAAATACCTTGTGAATTGAGTCTGTTCCAACAACATGGACTGGGTTGTTCGCGGAATAGGAAATTTGTATAATGAGTGTTACGTTACTTACAGTACGATTGTTACAGTACAATTTGTAGAATAATTAATGGAAGCTTTTGGTTTGTTTGTCATAGTGTTTGAGCTAATGAGATGCCAGTGCATCCAACACGAGATTAAGCGTAATAAAACACACCCAAGAAAGGAAAAGTGCGTTTCGTTATGCGGAATGTAGTGCGAAACGCGATTTTCTTCATAGTTGCAAACTCGTTCGATTGTAAATGATTTGACTCGTTCCAAGCGTTCACCTGAATGCTCTGATAGATACTGCTTATTTTTTTTATAATTTTGCATTACATTGTGAATTAAAGGATGAAATTTGAGTAATTCTGATGAAATTGTGCTCGGACCTTTTTGAATTTTACAAATTTTGAAGGAGAAATACACTTTTTTCAATAATTTTTTTTATTCCGAAGTTTTAGTCGAAAACTTTTTGAAATTCGGGCATGCCGGACCGTAAATTTTCCTTGTGTGAGTAATACCACATTAAAAATAATTTTTATGCAACTTTTTCGTTGCGCGGTCCTTTTTTTATGCTGGGAAATAATTCTTTGGGTTTGACTGGGGTTATGAGTTTTTGCCGGAAAATGAGGGGTTGTTCTAGTCAAATCAATTTTGATTTTGAATTTCATTTGTTGAAACAGGAAGCTGGTGTTATCGTCCTGACAAACGGCTACGTGCACGAAGCCAAACAATTTGGTGAGTTATATTTCTATTATTATTTTTTGAATGACTCGACGAAGGACGTTGGCTTTTTGCTGCGTGTTCATCGCGAAGCCTTTCTAAATTGGGTGGAGGATATTGGACCGATAGGTCAATCGCAATTAATGACCTTCCTTAATCAATTAATGGTGGATTGCCCAAATTTATAACTCAGTGAAAATATCAATCCAAACGTTAATTCCTGTGTCGTATAATTTACGCGTTCCTTTTCCGTATTCTTGGATTTTCCATTGTACAGTATATTTGTTGGTCCTTGCTGAGATTCGAGATGTTACTTGTTGTTTGAGGAATTTAATTTTAAGCATAGCAAATTTCAAACATTATCCGCACTGGGCAAGTCGAACGAATAATTTTGTGTGCCTTCGTTTTCGTTCTTATAGTTCCGGAGTGTTTAATGTATACTGTATTTTGCGTTTTTGTTAGACTGCCGACGAGCATCATTTTCAAGAATTCAAGAAATTTCGGGTTAAGCCCATGTTGACCTTTTTTTTTCGCGCCGAAGTTGAGCATAGTTTTCAAGGTTTTGCTGTTCGAATGTTTTTTCTCAATTATTTTTACAATAATATTTTCTGAGTCGGGATGTTTTTGAATGACCAGATCGACCCGAATGCTCGTGTGATGAATTAAAATTTAGTTTTATGCAAGGTTAAGAAATTAATTGATTTGAACTTTCTTTTCGATCTGGACTCCGGTTTGTAGCTTTCAAAGTTTTCAAAGAATTAAAATCGGTCAGCGTCGAAGTAAAGAAAAACCTGTTTTTTAATGCCCTCCTTTTGCTTCAGTTTGGATTAAATATGCTTTTATTTTGTGATTTAATATGCTTTTAAAATGCATGAATTTCTAGAAATAACAGAGCTGATTTGCAGTCTTGGACGAGCAGGTATTTTTTTTTTCTGCGTGCCGCCGATGAGTTTCAGCGGGATCAAAAAGGAAATGCAAATCGGAGCAGCCTCGCTATTTGATTCTCATCGTTTGAATTATTTCCTCGTGTTCATCAGTGTATTACCGCAGCAGTGGGTTCGACGACGTCGACAATCGGTTGTTGATGTCTGCTTCGGCTAATGCTGAACATTCCATGCTGGAAGATGTGGATGACATTGTCGAGGATTCCGTGTCGCCTGACTCCCATAGTCACAGGCCGCGTTTGCGACGCAACTTTGCCGAAACTTGGCTTTGGAACACACTGGAAACTGGGTATTCACTAACTCTCCTCATTTGATTGCCTCATGTTTTCTACTTCTCTTTTTCTTTTAAATAAAGCTTGGTACTGTACATAAATTATGTTTCTATATATTTATTTTTTTTGCTCTGGTCGCGTGGTGCATGTTTCGTTCCGTTCTAAATACTACGGATATACAGTATTATTTGAAGGAGCATGAAAAAGTATGTTGAGAGGTTCAGGGAAGGAGGAGCGGGTTTTTAGGTGAAGGATGTGGATGCATGAGGTTGGTGACGAAAGACGGAAAAATCAGCGATTTGGACTGAAGAACGGCAACTGCTGGAACGCGACCGAAAGAACTGTGGAAGACTAACTAGATTTTTTAAATTCAAAAAGTTGCTGTGAAAATTGATTTTTAGTGGAAAAGTGACGCCCCTAGTTCCCCCTCCCCCGATTTTCTGCCAAGCGCGTTATTTCGACCCTAGAAATATATTTTTAAAGAAATAGTATTTTGGGATAGAGAAAGAAAAGAAGGATGTGTTGATGAAACGGATCTTTTCAATCTAGTTTCCGTTCTGTTAGTATAACTAACGAGAGAGTATTATGTGTAAGGATAAACTAAATTGATTCTTCTGCTTGAACCCGAGATTTGTGTCAAATACGAGAAATGGCACTTTTTTCCAGGACTGATTCCTTGAATTTAAGTTTGAGAAACACTAATTTCTGTTCTAAAATTTTCCGAACAACTATGGGTTTAATAAAAAGACCTTAAGCAACCGTCTGCTGATTTTTCTGAGGATTAGTTTCTTGAATTGCAGCCATAATAACGTCTCACCTCTCTTTTTCGCCAATTCTCATTTAGAATACCCGTCAAATTCGGAAATTTTCGCGCAAATTGCAATAATCATGACTTGTTTTTTAGGGGAAAACTTTTGAAAAATCCGGGGCATTTTCAGCGATTGGGATTTCCCAATAATTTTGACTACTTTACTCGGAAGCACTCACCTCAGCTTTGAAATGACAAAACATGCGATTATGAATTGTAAGTCTAGTTTCCTAGTAGGAGTGAGTTGCACTTTCAACGATCACCATCTTTTCTCTATTTCAATTAGAATGAGCTAAAGTGGAACAGGATTACTTCCGTGTCCAGGAAATAATTACGAAAGGACTCTCCTACGTGACTCAGTTTAAAAACAAACGAACAAAAAGCTCCCATTCCATCCTTGGTATGTTGACAAATAAAGATAAAATTCAGTTTTTTTTTTATCAAAAAAGCGACATTGTGAGGCTTTCTTTGGAGGTTTCCAAAGAAAGTTCCTACGGTTGGGTTAAAGTGCAAAAAAAAAAAAGAAAAAAAGAAAGAAAGAAAGAAAGATTCTCTCCAATGTGCGGAAGAGTCATTTCGGCCGTGAAGGACGCAGACTTGCCTGTTTGAACTTGCGGGCGACACAGGAGGAAGACTTGAGTATGGGAAGTCAATGCGTGTTCTTCGATGCAGGGTTTAGCAGCACGACGGAGACGCCCAACAGAGTAGATTCGCCGTTGAGTGGCGGCGGCGGCGGCGTCGGAGGCGGTGGTGGTAGTGGCCTTTCTGCAGCTCTGTCCCCCACTAGACCGCCCTTGGCCGGTCCCTTCGCCTTCTCGAGAATCCCGCGGCCCGTGGATGCCCGGCCCAGGTTTCACGTGAAGCGCGATTTCGCGGACACCTGGCTGTTTCACGACCTCACTTTGCGGTATTCCCTTTGTCCCGAGAAAGGCCTTCTTCTGCCCTGTTCTTTGCGTCGTTGTTTGTTTGTCGTTTTTTTTTTCGAATGAGTTTTTCTCTTCTTGTAGAGCGCATCTGCCTGAGTATAAATTTGGTAGTTGAGAGAATCTCTCTTTATTTATTTATTTTCTGTTTGACTTGCGAAGGGTGGCAAAAAATACAGGTAGACCCTCCGTACAACGATTTTTTCCGTTGGACGATTTTTTGGCCCCGTAGGGGTTTCTACCCATACCCATTCGACAAATTTTCTTCGCAACGAATTTTTCCTGTCCCCAGAATTTCGATTTAGAGAGTCCACCTGTATAATGGAATTTTTTGTATTTATTGTAGAGCTTACTTTTAAATGAAAATTCCTGAAATGTCATTCTTGAATAATTTATGCGTTCAACTAGTGGTTCATTTGAGCATTCGTTTCTCTTTAAATCGTGTGTTTGTGTGTGCGTTTAGTATTAATTCGTCGTGTTGGCATTATTGTTGAAAAAAATAATTTGTTGAAGAAGCTGATTCAAACATTTAAAGAAAGCAGGATTTATCTTGTGTATATGTAATCGTGTTATTTCTATTGTTTATTTTTCATGACTTTTTCCTTCAAAAGTTTTTCTGTGCTAAATGATTTTAAATTCCCGTGCACGTCTTTTTTTTTTGCTTTATGTTATTACAGTAGTTGGGTTTGTTTTTCAAGCTTGGTAGTGCACATGTGCAACACCTCAGAGTACTGTATTTTTTCAGCACATGGAGATAGATCTTTTTTCTTTGATTTTTCGCACTTCGTTTAGATTTGCTTTCTTTCTAGATGATTGTTTGCATTGCTATTATTTGTAGCGTTATTCTTTTATTTTTCTGTCTGCTGTTGAATTTTTAGTATCTCGTCTTGAGATATTTTCTGGAGAAATGGGTTATGATTTTTTTGTGGCATTGATTTTGCGAACAGGTTTGACGGCAGTGGGAGTATAACTTCTCAGGTACCTGATAGCATCACTTCCTGGGTCATATCGGCATTTTCCGTCCACTCCCTAAACGGCCTTGGAATAGCTGAAGAACCTGCTAAGGTTGGTTGATTTGATTTTCATTATAAATCTTCTGTTTTAGTCGCATTCTTGCAAAGGAAGTTGGATAAATCCTGATTTTTTTTAAACGAAAAAAGAATTAACGAGAATGATAGGTTCTTGTTTGCTACAAAGTAGCTTTTGGAACAGATTAGCTTTGTTTTTTAAGGCCTCGCTGTAAATTATAAAGTCCCTGACTTAATTTGTTGTATTATATAAACAGTATATAATACTATAATCAGCAGTGTTCCCCAACTTTTTTGGCCCACAGACTGGAAAATTTCCATAAAATTTTTTGCGGACCGGAAAAATTCAAAAACATTTTTGCGGACCAGTCAAGTTTCTTAAAATATTTGCAGACTCAAAAAGTTTTGCTTGAAAGACTTCATGGCAGGTTTTTAAAAAGTTTCTGCTTTTTTCAAAAAATTAGGTTAAGAACCAATGAAGCAACTATATTTTGTTACGTCTTCAAAAAATTACAATGTTGGAGCTTGAAGAAAAGTTTCTCAGAATAAAAAATTGAAATTATATTTCAGCAGGGGACAATTTGTCTGAATTGTTATTAGGAACAAAGCCAACTTTTATTTTTCATCAGATAATCTCGACTGTCTTTGTCTTTTTGAAATTTCTGCTAAAGATAACAGACTTCATTGTTACTTTTGATGGATTTATTATGCTGGAGAAAATTTCCTGCGGACCAGCGCAGGTCCGCAAACAGTGGTATACAGTATGTTGCATTTAGAAGGACTCCATGGAAATCACTACAAAAAAAGCTTCGAATGTTCGAACGCAACTCTTCCGAATGAAGTTCACTGATTTGTTAGGGGCTGGAATTTGTTATGTTTTGGAATGCAAAAAGATTGACTCAATCCAATTTTTACAGCTTCGTGTTTTCAAACCATTCTTCATATCCATGAACTACCCGTATTCGGTGATGCGAGGGGAAACTCTTTCGCTCCAAGCCGTGGTCTTCAACTACCAAAGTAAAAGCGTGGAAGCCGAACTGACGCTCAGCAACGACAAAGGAGAGTTTGAGTTTGTGGGTGTTGAATCGAATGAAGTTGGCGGTGAGTTTAAAGTGCCAATTTTCCAAGTTCTTCATCTCTCGCTCTCTATAGTGTTTGTTTGGTTTTTACCGTAGAGTCGTAATCTTGAGTGCGTGAGCATTTTTCTTGTACATTAACTTCGAATTGATTGTAACCCGTTGCGCGTTATTTCCGTCTTACTTCGTGGTTTAAATCCAGGGTGACGTTAATCAAACGGCTTTTTTTATTTGTATTTTTCAAGGAGTCGACGAAAGCCAGAAGATGATGAAGAAGAAGTTTGTTGTGAATGCGAATGACGGAACAGCGGTGACGTTCATGATCAAGCCCTTGAGAGTTGGCAGTATCGATTTGCAGATGACTGCTAGGAGTCGAGTTGCTGAGGATTCTGTTCTGCGTCAATTGCTAGTGAAGGTAAATTGATGATGGTAAATTTTCATAGGTTGGGTTAACATTTTTTTTTTGTGATTTTGAAATCAGGCTGAAGGAGCTGAGCAGTACAGAAACAAAGCTGTGCTTATAAATTTGCAGTCATCGTCTACGTTCAAGGAGAATGTGACGATCGATATTCCTCCGCATGCCGTTAATGACTCATTTTATGTTGAAGTCTCGGCGGTCGGTGAGTTATGCAAAAGTTTAGCATATTCGTATTTTTCATCAAGAAAAATTTTATATGTGTTGGAATTTTTATATGTACATTATTTCAATTTCTGGAAAGTAAGATTTTGGTTTTTCCTCTGAAACTGCGCTCAGGCGTACGACCGAGCTTACGTTCTGCAGTCTTTCGCCATGTGTAATTTTGAAGATCGATCTTGGAACATTTTGATGTAATTTTTGAACTGCTAAAATGTATATGTTCGAAGATTTAGTGAGGAGCTATCTTTTGGCCCGAACCCTGAATTTATAGGACCTCCAATACATGCAGAACTTGAGAACTATCAAGAATTAAGTTGAACGATCAGTTGACCCACCATGCGAAATGAATTCCAATTGATTATACAGTAGTATCGGGATTCATTCTTGGTCAGGTCAAATGCACTGTTAAGGATGGAGCTTGAAATTTGAAGAAGGCATTTTATGATTTCATTGTGCTTTAAGGGTAACGAAGGTACATCATTTTATTCTTTTCTGTAGGCGACATAATGGGTCCCGCCATCCGAAATCTAGATCATCTTCTAAAATTGCCTTACGGATGCGGGGAACAGAACATGCTGAATTTCGTGCCCAACATTGTGGTTTACGAATATTTGAGAGTGAGTAATGTTTTTCTCTTCTACTTCGGAAAAATTGTGACTGAGTAATTCTTGATTACTCATCATTTCGTAGAATATCAATCAGTTGGACGAAGGAACGAAAACCCGAGCGAAACGGTTTATGGAGATTGGTTATCAAAGAGAGCTCACCTACATGCGAGACGATAATTCTTTTAGCGCCTTCGGAAACGCTGATTCATCTGGAAGCACTTGGTAAGCTTTTGAAGAAATTCTTAGGCTTGCTTACGTTTGTCAATGCAGGTTATTACAGGTGCACTTGCTCCAGAACAAAGTTCAAGGGACCACTAAAAATTAATTTTAGGGATAATTTTGTTGTAGAGAATTCCCATAACATTGGGAGAGATCCATATGAGACTCAAAACAAACTTGTTGTACAGAGGAAATTGTTGTGAACAAGATTCTTGTAGAATAAGTCCACCTTTCCAGGAAACCTGCAAGTTGGAGTAGGTTTCTCACCAGTTAAAGCCACGTCAGTTGCTGTTTCAAGTTGTGGTTTATAAAAAAAATGTGAAAACATGACTGGGCAGTTTAAATGAAGAATTGCTGTACCTCCCACATTCCTACCCAGTTGAATATGGAAATGTGAATGAAACCATTTTTGTAAGTACTGTATTTGAGTACTGTATTTTTGTAAGTAAAAAAAATATTGATTATTTTGCTAAGTCAATTCAGTTCCAGATGAAATTGTATTTTTTGTTGGTTTATCAGGCTTACTGCATTCGTGGTGCGGTCGTTCAATCAAGCCAACGCGCTTCCAGACGTAGACATTGATGAAAGCGTGATGCTGAAGGCGCTCTCTTGGCTCGTGGGGGTGCAAACGCGCGACGGGTCTTTCCCGGAAGTCGGCAAGGTGTCGCACAAGGCCATGCAAGGTGGCGCTGGGAAGGGACTCGCTCTGACTGCCTACGTGGCTATCACCTTTCTGGAAACCGAGGTTTTTTCCCGTTTTTTTCCAGTTCTTAGCAGAAGAAAGTGTTTGAAATGCGTTGCCTTTTTTTTTTTTTTTCTTAGGAGTTGACTCGAGGAGAGTATATCTTGCACAACTTAGCGCGAAACCTAATGTACCGATCACTCGTCAGCAGACACTGCCTAGAAATGTGAAACCGCCACGAGTTAATACGAAAGGTAAACCGGTTCGTAGTGATAGCTCTCTCCGACAACAATGTCATGGAGGAATTAGCCAAAACGAAAGGTAAAAAATTGTTTGCTGGCTGGATTAATTTTTTCTATTAGTTTTTTTTTTTCTATGCTCCCTGTTGAAGAATGTATTGACGATTATGCTTTTTCAATTATTTTTGTTGCAGAAAGATTTCACTTTATGGAATTATCTATTCAATTTTTGAAAATGCTTTCGAAAGATTTTTGGTTTACGTTTTATATACGTTTTAGCAATGCTTGGTGTGGATTCCCTTTTGTTTTTTCCCCCTTCATTTTGTAATTCTTCATTTTCTTTTGTTGGAAAGAGGAAATTTTATTTACCAAATCTTCGACTAAGATTTTCAAATGTACAAATTCCTTTTTTGTTGTTGTCGGATATACTGTATTTATTCGAGTACCAAGCGCACCTGTTCACTCCAAAATCGAGAGGAACAAGGGGTGCACGTCATTATATGGATTTTTCAAAAAGTTTTGGAAGTTGAGTGTGCATTATTTGAATGTGAAATTTTGGACCATGTTTCGCAGAAAAGCTTATTTTAATCGAAATGATTGAAAATTGGTTGAACTTTTGTTTAATCCATGTTTAAATTCAAATTAATGTGTTCTTATCTCTGAAATAATGCAATTTTCGAGTCACTGAAAATGGGATGAACTTCTTACTTGGGCATATAATTTTAATCAAAATGTTTGCCAGAAAACCCTTATGTGCCACTCATTTCGGCTGTTTGAGGGCGCGTGGTACTCGAGTAATTACTGCATTTGATCAAAACTATTCATCTTCTTTCTTCGGTGTTCATTAAGTAATGCAATACATTCTTTTTTGTTTTGCGTGATGATGCAGATGATATGAAGTACTGGGCAATAGATGTGCCAGAACCTGCGGTAGACGCACCCTGGGTGCATCAGGCTGTCAGTGTGGACATTGAAATGACCTCTTACATGCTGATGACTTACGTTATGCGAAATTTAGTCACCGAAGCTCTGCCCATCATGAAGTGGCTGATTGCACAGCGAAACGCTCAAGGAGGATTTGCATCAACGCAGGTCAACTAATTAGCAATTTCTCCTTGAATTTTTTCATCAGCCTTTAAACTATGGGAAAAGATGGGGTGATGAAAATTTTTTTTCTGTTATGCTCAATGTTCTCAAATTTTTTTTTCATGTCCATGAGTTGTATGTTGGTGTCGCGTACATATTTTCGAATTCCGTCGAGTTAAATTTGGTCATTTTGATTCGATTTTTCGAATTTTGATTAGGTTGAGTTCGGATAGCAGAGTTTTAATGTGAGTTCCGGTTCATTCTGGTCACATCAGTGATTCCTAAAAATATGAAGCATATTTTGGACATGGAACCAGAAGAAACTAAATGATTTGCTTAGTTTCACACACCCCCCCACCCCCAC